AAATTTCTAATGCCCTGGAATTGGATGAGGGAGGGGTCAGTTGGCATTAACTGTTGTATAAATGCATACAATTTTGTGGCTTAGTATTTTAAGTTGAGGTGGTTCCAACTCCTTTTTAAAAAATGTTGCTTTGAGATTTGAGTGTTTAAGTATTGTACTGCCACTAAAAGGCCAGAAGAAAAGAAAGGGGCCTCAGTGCTTTTGTAATCTCTTGCTGGGGAGGAGTTTCATCTGGATGTGGCTGTCCTGCTCATAGGTTGAGGAATGTTTTTTCAATGGAAGTTCCCAGGGAGATGGATGTCTCTTTGTTTAAAGAAAACAAAACGTGCTACAAGTTACAGAAAGATTTCTAGCAAATATAGAAGCAGTCACTGCAAAAGTCTCATATGTTTAAATTACTTTAGGGGCAAAGGTCCAGACTGTGAGCATTCAATATAGTGCATGCTATACTGAGTTTGACAATGTTAGAACTTTCTAGTGCTGTAGGCAAGGAGCATACCAAGGCCTGAAGGGACTATTGAGATCATCTAGGCCAGTGGTTCTCAAACTTTTGTTCTGGTGACCCCTTTCACATAGCAAGCCTCTGTGTGTGAACCCCCTAATAAATTAAAAACACTTTTTTACATATTTTTTTACTTTTTTTAACACCATTATAAATGCTAGAGGCAAAGCGGGGTTTGGGTTGGAGGCTGACAGCTTGCAACCCCCATGTAATAACCTTGTGACCCCCTGAGGGGTCTCGATCCCCAGTTTGAGAACCCCTGGGGCTGACCTGTGGTATAAAACTTTCCCAAAATAATTCCTACAGCACTTATCTTCAGAGAAAATTAGAGGGTGCTGAAAATCAGAGTGATTAGGGATCTATGCAATGTGGGTACTGAATGTCCTGAAATTCTTGTTTCCTTAGCTGGGATTGCAGAGTTTGAGAAAACATTTGATATCCCTACTTTGGGAAATACTAGTTCCTCCCTGCCACCTTGATATCTTCCCCCTCCTCCTTTCTTTAAAGCTTTGGAAACCACAATTGTTAACTATTATGTGACAATGATAGGAAACACTGCTTTCTTCTAACTTTAACAAGAAATTTAAAGATTATCCCCTAAAACGATTCTGCTGTATGCTTCAGTATAATGTTTCTGCCTAAAACTTTCAGAAGTTCCTTCTTGTCTTGATTGTTGCTATGTATTTAAAGAAACAATACACTTGCCTCCAAGGCTATTGCTCCTATACAACTTCACAACACACTGTCTCTGTGAAATCCATAAAAAATAGAAAAAAATCTGTAGCAATTGAATAATTTAAAAAGAAACAAGATATATAATGTTAATTCCATAGTTTCATAGAGTTAAAGGCCAGAAGGGACCATTAGATCATTTAGTTTGATCTTCTGTATATATCGGGTCACTAAATTTCACTCAGATACCCCTATTTTAAGCCCAAACACATTAGTTAGACTAAAACATTTCAGTCTTCAGGATATTAAAATGTGCTACAAGAGATCAAAGTGCTTTTTTCATGTTCAAAGTGCTGATCCATCATTAATGTAAACTTATGGGAGGGTTGTGAGCATAAGTATGACTTCCAATTTATAGATGGGGAAACCAACTTGGACAGGCTAAAGTTAAATGACTTTCTTAAACCCAAACAGCAAGTTGGAATTATTACAGCTCAAGAGTTCCTGACTCCCATCTCTATGCTCATGTCTCCAATTCATACTGTCTTTGCCACAGAGCTTACAAACCAGGGATGTGGAGTGAAGGATGAACCCCAATGCAGAGCCCTAGTGATTTTAGTGGGCTTGTGTGTGGGTGCAAATGAAGGGCCCACCTGAGTTCAACACATGTAAGGATTGAGGCCTAGGTGTCAGTTAGAACTCAAGAGATGGATAAATAGACAAGCAGGGACTTGGGAGAATAAAGATAATACATCAAAGAGGGTGTCATAAATATAAAAGGAAGGGTAAACCCCTTTAAAATCCCTCCTGGCCAGGGGAAAGCTCCTCTCACCTGTAAAGGGTTAAGAAGCTAAAGGTAACCTCGCTGGCACCTGACCAAAATGACCAATGAGGAGACAAGATACTTTCAAAAGCTGGGAGGAGGGAGAGAAAAAAAGGGTCTGTGTGTCTGTCTATAGTCTGTCTTTGTCGGGGATAGACCAGGAATGGAGTCTTAGAACTTTAGTAAGTAATCTAGCTAGGTATGTGTTAGATTATGATTTCTTTAAATGGCTGAGAAAAGAATTGTGCTGAATAGAATAACTATTTCTGACTGTGTGTCTTTTTTGTAACTTAAGGGTTTGCCTAGAGGGATTCTCTATGTTTTGAATCTAATTACCCTGTAAGGTACCTACCATCCTGATTTTACAGGGGTGATTCCTTTACTCCTATTTACTTCTATTTCTATTAAAAGTCTTCTTGTAAGAAAACTGAATGCTTTTTCATTGTTCTCAGATCCAAGGGTTTGGGTCTGTGGTCACCTATGCAAATTCGTGAGGATTTTTACCAAACCTTTCCCAGGAAGTGGGGTGCAAGGGTTGGGAGGATTTTGTGGGGAAAGACATGTCCAAACTACATTTCCCAGTAAATCCAGTTAGAGTTTGGTGGTGGCAGTGGTTATTCCAAGGACAAAAGATAAAATTAATTTGTACCTTGGGGAAGTTTTAACCTAAGCTGGTAAAAGTAAGCTTAGGAGGTTTTCATGCAGGTCCCCACATCTGTACCCTAGAGTTCAGAGTGGGGGAAGAACCTTGACAGAGGGTTTAGCATAAAAACTGAAGCTTCCACCCCATCACTTAATAACCACTAATATAGACATGTGTCCTGCTCATATTGCCAACTTTTGTGATATTTTATGTGGTTCTTCAAGCTGTTGGGGACACTGGGGCATGGCCACTAGGTAACTCGAGGGGATGGAAGACCATGAGTGTCGATAATGCCCACTCGCACTAGGCCCAGGTGTCGTTGGCCCCCCGGCCCCGCCTGGAGGTACTCGCAGTAGCTCTGCGTACTAGGCCCAAGTGTCCTTGGCCCCCCCAGCCTGGAGGCACTCACAGCAGTTATGCTGAGGATCTGCAACAATATGTTGCAGAGTCAGACTGCCTGAAACTAAACAAGGCCAAACAGGGCAGATATGGAAGAAAAATGCTGAATAAAGCAGCTTTATGTATAGTTTAACAAATGATAGAAAAAACAAGGGAACTAGCTGGTAACTGGATTGGCTGGCTATATGGATACTTAGGGCAGCTTGCTACTTGATAAGTATGCTGAAGAAAGGATGTATAAAAGCCTGTGTAACTTCCTGCTCTGTGTGCAGGATTTGAGATTCTATTCTCCCTGTACCTTTTTGAAGCTTCAAATAAACTTTTCTGCTTCTCCACCCCATTGTGATTATTGGGTGAAGCACACCGGGTAGCGAACCAAACCCTGCTGTTGTTTTGCCTCTCGGCACTGGGTGCCGGCAACAAAGCCTGCGCTCCAGGAGTCATGTGATTATGGAAGATTATCAGGTTTCATTTTAAACCAAGTTTCTAGCCATTATAGTTGAGGTGAATCTTGAAAATGTGAACCCTAAAGAATGCAAAAAACAGTGTCAGTAATTTCTTCCCCCTAACATCCCGAAAAAGGGATGGCCTAAAAATTCTCAGGTTTGAAAATCTCAAGATATTTGGGGAGGCTTGAATTTTTAATTTTTTATATAATTTTTTAATGCTTCAAGTTGGTAATACTGCATTTCTGTTCCTCTAACTTGACTTTAAAAACTTAATACAACATTCTGATTTGATTACAGGTTTGGAATAAGAGAACTGGAGGTGGTGGTAGGGTCCAAAGGCAACCTTGGTGGGAGCAGAGGCGATGTGTGGGAGACACATGCCATTCAGATTTTTTCCAGAGTTTGTATGCTCTACCCTGAACCGCACTTTATACCACCAGAACCTTTACATTATGCCCTCTCCCCATCAATAGTTATGTGTTGTCTCTGGAGCAGAGTTGTTAGTAAAATCAGGGATATTTGACCAGAGAATCATAGAATTATGGGACTGGAAGGGACCTTGAGAGGTCATGTAGTCCAGTCCCCTGCACACATAGCAGGACTAAATATTATCTAGAAAGATTATTAATGAAAAGGAATTGATATCTATGGTAAGACCGATCCTGGGATGATAAACCAACTCATGTGACTATGACTTATGATTTTATATAGAGACATATCTTTCATTGGATGAACTTGTGTGGGTGGAAGGTACAAGCTTTTGAGCTACACAGAGCTCTTCAGATCTGGGGAAGGCAGCAGTGTCTGAGCTAAATACAAGCTGGGACAGATTAAGCAGAAAGGGTAACACATATTGGAGGTGGTCACTTGAAAGTAAGAGTGGGGGTTAGACTACTATGCATAAAGACTTTGAAGTGGGCAATAAAGGATAGCAGGCGGCGCAGTGTTACAAATTATTGTAATGAGCCATAACACTTGTTAAATCCATGGTTATTGGAGTCTAGCAGGATTATGAATTTGTCTTCCCTAGACCCCCAAGTGCCAGAATCAGGCTATCTATACCCTAAGAAGTTTAGCTTTCATTTTTAACAAAGTAAGTTTCTAGCCCTCAGAGTTGTTGTTGGAAAAACTTGACAATGGGACCCCCTATACGTTCCAATGCTACAGGTCAAGTAAAAAGACCCAACGTGCCCTATTGTAAAATCCTATGATTTTTCAGAGCCTGATGCAAAATTTTTGAATGCTTGAGGTTGGGGCTATTGCTCTGCAGCCGGAGTTGGGCTGAAGGGAGAACCAAGTCCGGCGGGAGTTAATTACAGACAGGCGCCTGCAGCATCTAAAGGCCGCAGAGCAGCCCTGGAATATGCCCCTGTTTCTACTGCAGGGCGCAGCCCTAAAGAGCTCTGGACTCCGGAGGCCTAACGCCTCCCTCCTCCCCTCCTGGGGCATCTTGTCTATCCTCCCTCTGCGTTTCTATGGTGTGCTGAAGGGACAGGTGGCGCATGCGCACTGCCTCCCTGTGCCGGCCGGCTCCACATTGAGGCAGGGCGAGCGGAGGGACCATTGAAAGATGGAAGCGGCGGCTAGAGAAGAGCTAGGTACAGCGTGCTCCGTTGTCTGGGAAGGGCGGTGAAAGTGAGGCAGGGCGGAATGGGCAGCGGCTTGCTGTGTGGCAGGGGTAGAGGGCACAAGGAGGCTGAGGAGATTTGACTCCCCCCCGCACTTGGAGAGAATGGTTTGCTCCGCCGGTAACGCATCTGCAGGGCGGGATAAACCATCTCACCCGAGGGGGGGGGGAGAAGGGTTGAACCACTGCAGCCCCTTCCTCCTAACAACTCCTGCGGTTTCCCCGTGCTGGGGTTGAGCCCGGGCCTCCCGTGGGGGGCGGGTGTCTCCTGCACAGGGGGGAGGGGTGCGAGGCCCTGTCACTGATCCGGGAGGCCCGTGGTGGCGGGGCGGGGGGAGCGCTGGGTTCTCCGCCGCTGGCCGCTGTTGTGTGGCCCGGGTCTCTCTGCGCGCCGGGGGGAGGTGATGGCGGTAACCCCCCCCCCCCCCCCCCGCCGCCGCGCTTGCTGACTCCCCAGAGCCGGGCCAGGCTGGCTAGCGCGGGGGCTCGGGGAGCTGCGCCCAAGGGGGAAGAGTGACCCGCTGCCTGCTGGGCCGAGCTCTGGGCGGGGGACGCTGAGGAGGGGCCATGTGGGGGACACCGAGGAGCCCCCCCTCCCGCTCGCGGGGCAGTGTGCCCACAGCTGCAATGGCAGGTGGTGGGGAGGTTGGGAAACCGGGCCCAGAACTGCTGTCGCTTCAGCTCCGAGTCTGCCTTCCCAGCCTAGCCGCTGGGTAACGCTGCTGCCTGCGAAGCGAGGTTGTGCGGTGGCTTCTTCTGATCGTCGTGACATCTGCTGCCTCCACAGCCAGCTACAGCTTTTGGCTGAAGTTTTCAAACTTGGAGTGTCTAAAGCAAGGCATCTAAATCCGTGATTAGGCACCTAAATTTTGACTTTGAGAGGTGTGACGAGTCAGCACCTCTAAATATCAGGTCACTAAACTCATTTAAGCAGCTAATTTTTGACACCTATATTTGAAAATGTCCAAAAGCATTAATTCACTATGACTGATTTGTTGTAAATCACAAAAATGCGGGAACCCCCAATATATACCTGGCTCTTAAGATGTGACAATCTGAGGAAGGTTAAAATGGACTGATGTTTTTGTTCTTTGATGTCATGTGAAAAACACTGACTAAAACAGTCCGTTATCACCATGAGTGCGATTCTTTAAAACTAATCTCAGTTTATGGTTAAATAAAAGCCTTTTAATTTTTCAAATACTGAATTTAGGCATCCTTGATGTTCTGGAGGAACTCTCTGCATTATGATGAATAGGACTCCCAGAATAAAACCCTTTCAATAGCAAAGGGTGGTAGCTTTTTGTCAAGGTTCCTCCCCCACTCTGAACTCTAGGGTACAGATGTGGGGACCTGCATGAAAAACCTCCTAAGCTTATCTTTACCAGCTTAGGTCAAAACTTCCCCAAGGTACAAAATATTCCACCCGTTGTCCTTGGACTGGCCGCTACCACCACCAAACTAATACTGGTTACTGGGGAAGAGCTGTTTGGACGCGTCTTTCCCCCCCAAAATACTTCCCAAAACAATGCACCCCACTTCCTGGACAAGGTTTGGTAAAAAGCCTCACCAATTTGCCTAGGTGACTACAGACCCAGACCCTTGGATCTTAAGAACAATGCACAATCCTCCCAACACTTGCACCCCCCCTTTCCTGGGAAATGTTGGATAAAAAGCCTCACCAATTTGCATAGGTGACCACAGACCCAAACCCTTGGATCTGAGAACAATGAAAAAGCATTCAGTTTCTTACAAGAAGACTTTTAATAAAAATAGAAGTAAATAGAAATGAAGAAATCCCCCCTGTAAAATCAGGATGGTAGATATCTTACAGGGTAATTAGATTCAAAAACATAGAGAACCCCTCTAGGCAAAACCTTAAGTTACAAAAAAGATACACAGACAGAAATAGTTATTCTATTCAGCACAATCCTTTTCTCAGCCATTTAAAGAAATCATAATCTAACACATACCTAGCTAGATTACTTACTAAAAGTTCTAAGACTCCATTCCTGGTCTATCCCCGACAAAGAAGACTACAGGCAGACACAGACCTTTTGTTTCTCTCCCTCCTCCCAGCTTTTGAAAGTATCTTGTCTCCTCATTGGTCATTTTGGTCAGGTGCCAGCGAGGTTACCTTTAGCTTCTTAACCCTTTACAGGTGAGAGGAGCTTTCCCCTGGCCAGGAGGGATTTCAAAGGGGTTTACCCTTCCCTTTATATTTATGACACTTTTACATATAACAATTTTACTGATGCATAGCTTCAGGATCCTAATAGGTATCATTCATTCTTTGCCTCTACCTTCCAAAACTGTATGTCATTAGATTTCTCTCCCCCCATTATATTCTTTTCATTTATACTTGCAAAAATAGTATTTTCTCTGATCTTGGATTTGGCACTATTGGAGAAAAAAATAAAACTTCTTTTTAGGAGTAAAAATACATTGCTTCTCTTTTAGGCTTAAGTTCCTTGCTATCTGAATTCATCTTCTGTTACACCTATTCTTGAAATTATGAAGTGTAATTCATCAATCTCTGCCAAGCCCTTTTGCAAAGGAATTCTGCAGTGAGACAGGTGTTTTTTTACTTTAAAATGGGAATCTGATTGTTGCTTTTACAGACTGTACATACTCAGGCACAATGTGGTGTCAGTTGGCATTAAGGGCCATAAAGGCTCCCGTTGACTCTTCTGGGCTATAGATCAAATGCATTTGGCTTCTCTTCAAGTCCCTTATAGTGGATCTCCAGAACTGATCTTTGATGCTAGGCATTTTTACTTTCAGGTTACTCTTTCTCTTGATTTGACATTTGTCTCATCTATGCTGTAAGTCTCACCTTTTGAAGCCTTTAAGAAGCTTTATGTACTTATAGCAACGCATCTGGTTTTGAAGTTTTTCTGTTGTAATATCGCAACTTTTATGTCTGTAATCACGTGACCAGAGAGATTGAAGTGTTCTCCGACTGGTTTATGGATGTTATAATTCTTGACATCTGATCTGTGTCCATTTATTCTTTTACGTAGAGACTGTCCAGTTTGACCAATGTACATGGCAGAGGGGCATTGCTTGCACATGATGGTATATATCACATTGGTAGATATGCAGGTGAACGAGCCTCTGATAGTGTGGCTGATGTTGTTAGGCCCTGTGATGGTGTCCCCTGAATAGATATGTGGGCACAGCTGGCAACGGGCTTTGTTGCAAGGATAGGTTCCTGGGTTAGTGGTTCTGTGTGTGGTATGTAGTTGCTGGTGAGTATTTGCTTCAGGTTGGGGGGCTGTCTGTAGGCAAGGACTGGCCTGTCTCCCAAGATTTGTGAGATTGATGGGTCGTCCTTCAGAATAGGTTGTAGATCCTTGATGATGCGTTGGAGAGATTTTAGTTGGGGGCTGAAGGTGATGGCTAGTGGCATTCTGTTATTTTCTTTGTTAGGCCTGTCCTGTAGTAGGTGACTTCTGGGTACTCTTCTGGCTCTGTCAGTCTGTTTCTTCACTTCAGCAGGTGTGTATTGTAGTTGTAAGAACGCTTGATAGAGATCTTGTAAGTGTTTGCTTCTGTCTGAGGGGTTGGAGCAAATGCGGCTGTATCGTAGAGCTTGGCTGTAGACAATGGATCGTGTGGTGTGGTCTGGGTGAAAGCTGGAGGCATGTAGGTCGGCATAGCGGTCAGTAGGTTTCCGGTATAGGGTGGTGTTTATGTGACCATCGCTTATTAGCACCGTAGTGTCCAGGAAGTGGAACTCTTGTGTGGACTGGTCCAGGCTGAGGTTGATGGTGGGATGGAAATTGTTGAAATCATGGTGAAACCCTTGAGGAATTCCTTTTCCATGGTTCCAGATGATGAAGATATCATCAATATAGCGCAAGTAGAGTAGGGGCATTAGGGGACGAGAGCTGAGGAAGCATTGTTCTAAGTCAGCCATAAAAATGTTTATCTATAACTCTACTCAGCTAAGCTAAAATTCTATGTATTGTCAGCAGGTCTCTACTTTTAAAGCACTAATCTTAAAGGGGCATGTAGTCAAAAATTCAGAGAAAGCTCCTATTCATTTAAAATGAAATGAAGGCTAGTTCTCATTAGACTTAGCGGTAGCCAATCTTACAAACATTTCTCTTCAAACTTCAGTATAAACAGAGAAGATCAATAGAAATTTAGACATGTTATATGACTGTGGCAGACAAGCAAGTCGCAAGCCATTATTTACTTGGATGTAATAATAGTACATATCTGCAGGCATAGCTTTTATTACATTTAGCTCTATGTAGACCTGTGTTACTCTTCCTTTGCAACCTGAACTGTAAACAAGTTCAACAAGTCTGCCTTGTGCTAATGGTTAATTTATCTAACCAGTTGGATGACATGCCTCCAGGTATGTTGAGCGACATGGGAAAAGCACAGCACTGAGGGTTTTATGCAGCTTTATAACAGAATGTGTGTTGGAAGATTGAAGGGATGAATCAGTTTTAGTCTATTTTCTGAATAAAGATGGGTGAAAGAGTAGGAGTGAAGAAATCTCCAAAGAAAAACAAACAGAACCTCAAACACTTAATACATTAATAGAAAACTTGCAGGGTGTCAGGAACAATTGACTTTGAGTGGAAATTGTGATATTTAACAAACTGGTTGCCCCCTAGCCACAGCTGTGAAGTCCTGTCATTGTACATCCTGGCTGCTTGGAATTTCATGATGATAGCAGGAATAGATTTCAGGATCCTGCTCGCTCTGCTAAAGAAGAATCTCTCTTTTATTTGTCAACACTATAAGGGGTATGATATGTAACTGAGAAATTCTGATTTTATTCAGTAGAGGCAAGGAAAACATAGTACAGTATAGATTCATCTTATATTTTCCATAGGATATTGGTTTTGCATAGATATGTGAACTCATAGATCCATGATGAGAACATGGTTGTTGTAATAGTATTAGTTTAGTTGCTCTAAAGTCCAATGGATAGCGCGAAAGAGCACAGAG